CAAGTGATGAAAAATATAATAAAAACCAATGATAATATAAATATTAATAATATTATTATTGATAATAATAAATAGCTGTAGTAATAATGAAAAGTTGAATTTTTGTCAATGCCCAAAGAATAGGTAATACTTACAAATGGCTTTGGGTCCAAGTATTTTCCTCCCATGCAAGTACTCTGACAATATTTTTTTATAAATCATTTATGTATTTTTCTATTATTAGTTGAATTAAAATAAAATAATTTTCTTGTTAGTGCAAGAAAGAAATTAGTTGGCATTGGTACTATGCTTTGTTATCCTTTTTTGTTTAGAGTTTTAGAAGCGATAATCATTTGCTGATTTGAATTCTCTTTTTGGAAAATCTGAGGTTCTACAATTTTCAACACATTTTTTAATAGCGATAGCAATTTCTTCTCTCTGCAGAGCTCAGCAAGATAGTGAGAGCTATGAGCAGCTAGCAAAAAATCACTGATTTTCAAACTTAATTTTTTGGGAAGAAATTTTTTGTTTTTGTTGGGTAGTAAATTTCAAAAAATTTTTTTTTTACTTTTCTGAAATCGATATCAATACACTTGATGATCTATGTTGAAATTAAAATTTGAATGCCTTGTCCACGTGATAAACGGTTTTTACCATTTATCATGCGAAATAATAAAATCTTTTTTTCCAAGTGAACAGAAGGAGATTTGGTTTTAGTTAATGTGATAAAGATCACTATTAACTAATATGTTTTTAATTAACAAGTTTACAACTGAAAACGCAACTTGGAGCTTTTTTCTTTTTTATTATTATTATTGTACATGCTGTGCCATGCAAGAACCAAAATCTATTAAAGTTAAGTTTGATTTGGATTGCACCTTCTTTATCATAAAGAGTAAAAAAATCATATCACTTAAGTCAAAACAATAGTCAATTTCATCAAATTCAAAACATATACAGTGTGTTGCGAAAAAAATTGCGCATGAATTGTAAAATTGATTTTTATAATAAATAAAAAAAATAGATTTGTTTATATTGCCATTTTTATAAATGTTTATTTTTTTATTTTTTAATCTCTTTACAAAAAAAGAAATTATCCTACTTCATTGTTTATTTCGTTTAAACCTTGCAAACATGCCCAATAAAGAACTTGAGGCACAACATCAAACAATTCTACATTACTGGCTAAATGGAATTCGTACTGCCAAAGAAATATATACAAAGACAAAGATTTCCAATTCGTACTATTCAATACAACATCAAAAAACTCAAAAAAAAGGCACTGTTAAACATATTGGTGGTAATGGCCGTCATTCTAAGGTTACACATACTGTTCCGCGTTCAATTGGGCAACTTGTTCACCATAATTCTGCAATTACAACACGTCAACTTGCGGTTCAAATTCAAGATACACATAATGTATCTATTTCACATACTGATATTGGGAGACACATGGCAAAAAAGGGGTATAATAGTGCCATACCACTTTCCACCCCAATTCTTACCAGCAGTCATTTAGATGCTTGAAAAACATGGGCACAGGCTCATTTGAACGATAACTGGGACTATATCATCTTTACAGATGAGACTGCTTTTGATTTATTTCGTAATAAAATTTCAAGATGGTATAAAAATGGAGAAAGACCAGTTAGAAGATTACCAAAATCACAACAAAAGGTAATGGCTTGGGGTGGAATTTCATTGAATGGCAAAACCCCTTTGTTTTGCTTTACAGAAATAATGGATGGTCCTTTTTATGTGAATATTTCTTCCTGCTGCTCAAAAACTGTATGGTAGAAACTGGTGTTTGCAACAAGATAATGATCCTAAGCACACTTCGTGTGTTGCAAAGGACTTTTATCCCAAAATAATATTCATGTTTTAGACTGGCCATCAAACAGTCCCGATCTGAATCCCATTGAAAATATGTGGCAGATCATAAAAAATAATGTAGAAAGAATGCCTATAAATACTAGTGAGTTGAAACAATTTATGGTTGAAGAATGGGATAAAATCCCCCATGAAACAGTACAAAATTTAATTAAATCTATGAAAAATCGTTGTGAATTAATATTACAAAAAAATGGGGATAGAATTTTGTATTAATTTTTTTATATTTAATAAAGTAAATAATGAACTTTCAAATGAATCTATTTTTATTTATTTTCAATGTGTGCTTGTTGAGATTTACGGTTTTATTTATGCGCAATTTTTTTTGCAAAACACTGTAAATGGGATGGCCGTCCTCATATTTTTTCATAACACCAACATAGAATTTAACGTTATTTTTATTTTTTTATTTTTATTTAATTAATGATTAGATTTGTTACGCAAATAATTATTTACATATACGGAAGGAAATTATTCATGAATTTTAATTTTAATAAAAAAAGTCCAATTCATTTGAGAATTAAAATGTGTTTCTATTGCTTCGCTAAAAAATTTGAATTAACAACCTGAACCAATCAATTGCTTACTAAATTAAAGTTTTAACTTTATTACACCAAAAAAATTAAACACAATTTCATGTGAGCATTATCTAACTTGGATATGATTTATTACACTCAAAATAATCATACGTGCTATGATACAACCAAATGAACTAACTCTTTCTAAATAAACATATTGTAATAAAAAATACATTTATGTTTATTACTTCTTATTTAGTTAGTGTTAACGCTATAATTCATTTCAACCAATCAGATTTGACTTTTTCATAAATAAAGAAATCTGATTGGTCCTTAAAAACTTAAATTTAAATTTTCTATATATACCATTTTAATATAAATTAAAATAATGAGAAAAAACACTACAAATTACCTTTAACAAATTACCTTTAATGTAAAGAAAGAAATTTAATTTTGACAATTTTTAATTAGCATTTAATTTAATCAATAATCGAATTGATTGTTACACACTAAATATTACTTTGATATCAACAGAAGCCCTGCATCAAGACAACAATTTCCTCTGCAAAATGCCTTCACTCTTACTGTGCACAAAACCCAGGGATTAACATTACCTCATTCAACTGTCAGCATTGATGAAAATATGTTCGCACCTGTCAAGTATATGTAGCCATGAGCAGAGTGCCTTCTTGGGATTCACTTGGAATCTTAGATTTTGACTTTTCTAATATAAAAACTGATCAATCTGTAATTCAGGAGTATGCAAGATTGAAAAACGTAAACCAAAGAGGTCTTGGCCAATTAATTAATTGGGGCATGCTACAACAAAACCAGACAAAGTGAACATTGGTATTACCAAGAATTTCAGGGATCAATATTGTTTGTTTAACATCACGATTGTATTACCAATGTAATGTGATCATGATATTCATCTAGACAAAAATAGTTAATATGAAGTTAATTTACATTAGGTCTACTGTGGAACCCAAAAATTACAGCACCATTAGAAGTATTTTGAAGAAGGAACAAGGTGAAAAGGTTGCCCCTTATGTATTCAAAATAAATGATACTCAACACTTGAGGCTTATCTAAAAAAAGAAAGGATTACTTATGAAATTTACCATGAAGAAAGAAAAATCATAAATGTTGGAAAAAGAAAGCATCATGATGATGCATTGCTACCTAATAAAAAGCAAAGGTCCTTAAAAGGAAAATAACTACAATTTTCTTTGATAATGGAATGAATTTCAATTTATACAGAGGGAAATTCCTTCAATTACTTTCTTATTTTCAATCAAGATCATCTTTTAGTCTCTTTAACTTCAATTTGAGCAGTTAATTGACCATTTTGTTGATCTTTTAATTTCCTGTTTTCCTCTTCTAGATGATTAATTTTTTCTTCTAAACTTTTTATCTTATCTAACAACTCTTGTTTTTGCCTTTTACCTCACTCTTCTGATTTCTCTTGAAACTTGGCTATTTCCTCTCTTTCAATTTTTAATTCTTCTTTGGTAAATGATAACTCTTTTTCTAGTTCTCTAGTTTTACTTTCTAGGCGAAAACTGAAAGATTGGGCAACTAATTCCCTGTTAGTAAGAGATTGGGTTTGCTTCTTCTTTACTTTATGACAATAACACCTACTTTTATTTCTCTTTAACCTATCACATTTCTCACATCGTGGAAGAGTGTTGTTGTCATATTCCACCTTACACTCCTTACAAATAAAAGCTATGTCAGCACTACTACCATCTTCCTCTAAAGATACCATTTCATGAGTAGCAGGTGCAGTATCAAAATTTAGATTGGTTGGATCATCATAATCTACAAAGCAATAATGACATTCTTGTTCATCCCCTTTTGCTAACTCCAAAACTCTATATTCTAGCTTCATATTTATTACTTGCTTTTCTGAACAATAAGTGTTTGGAACTTCACTTGGGATTTTTCTTTTACTTTGCTTACCAGCTGTTTGATTTTTAGTAATCTGCTCTTTTTTTGTTGTTTAGGTAAGGCTGGCAGTTCTTTATCTTTATATTTTTCAATGGTTTGTTCTTTATTTTCCAATCAATGAATATTGCTTTTTAGAACTCTTATTTCCTCCAAAAGTTCTTTTTCTCTAGCATCATGTTTTGCAATTATTTCAGCTTTTTGTCATTTTTTTCATTCCTCAGATTTTTAGTGAAACTTCATTACCTCTTCTTGCTCTACAGTGACTCAAAAAACCGGCAAAATGTTTTCAATTTTTTTATTCATTTTTTATTTTCTCAACAACCACACAACATACAATAATCTAACTAATATCATTTAAAAGCCCTGGATTCCAGTATTCTAATTATATGTTTATTGGATTACTTTATTAAACAATTTTAAAAAATATTTGATCACAAAGTTGATGTATCATTTTGCCAGTTTTTTGGCTCCTTGTGACTTACATAAAATTATCTAATTGGATTTAATAAAAAAGCTTTAATGTCATTGGTTATTATTTCTATATAATACTATTCGGAGAGAATAATTCTTGAAAAAATCAGATATGATTCTATTAATAAATTTCTCAAAAATGAAGGATTAAGGCAATATATTGATGACAAAATATGGAAAGAAATATTTAAAATGCTTCATTCAGAATACAAGTATATTGAAATTAGTAAGCTTGTCTGGGAGATTTGGACTAATGTTGTAAAGGTAGGTAATTTGGACGGTTATCAAAAATTGGCTGGATCTTTTTATAATTTATTTGATTTACTATGAATTTCATAGACTACATGTAAACAAACCAGTGATGACCAACTTAAAAAAGAAATTAAAGATTATTTAAACAATTTCAAATCAAAAAATGACAATAATGATAACCAGGAGGATCTATTTTTAGAAATTTGTAAGTTTAATTAATAATATCTTTTGTTAATATGAGACAAACATCCCTAACATGAAAAGATCATAACCAGGATCTTTCATCATTGACCCTTGAAATAAAATAATCCAACAAGCCATTATTGTCTTTATGAGATAATGACTCGATTTCAGCTTTTTTTTTCAACTTTGAGAGTTTTCGGAGTTCAGTTCTATTATATGTTATAAATTCAATTAATGATAAAATTACTTGGAATTCCAATTATAATGATAGAAATATTTTTTTTTTACCTCCAAGAACTTGGTAAATTATTATTTTTTAGTAGATCCTTGCACTTTTTTTCATCATTAATTGTCATCTCAATCAATATATTATCAGGAATGTGGTAACTAAATAAGGTTAGTAATAATAGCAGTAGCAACAGTAGTAGCATTAATAATAATAAATAACAATATAATTCAGAGATTTTTGTAACAAAAAAGGATTTTTTTACTCTTTTATATCTTTGTAATGTAACCCAATCCAATGAAAGTTTTGAATTGCTAAATTGTGATTTTCATATGATTTAGCCTAAATAGGAAAAAAAGTTTTTTTAGTTAATGCTAAACTGATTATTTAAAATGTGTTTTACCTGTGATCCATATCTATATACATTTAAAATGTTTACCCCTGATTTATATATATGGATAGAAATAAATAAATTATAATGATTTTTATAAATAATTAATCAATAATTAATTAATCCTACCATGAGGATCAAAGTCAAAAAACCCTAAAATTCTGATCACAGGTTGTAAATCATTAAACAACTTAATTAGTTGCCTGGTCGCAACATCCTTTTTCAACAAAGGTGGAAGGGAAAAAAATAAGTTGTTGTTTAGAAAGGAAGGAAATATATATTAATATGTTTGTAACTTACTGGATAACCCTTTCCCTATAAAAATATTCAAAATAAGATCCTTATTAGTTAATTCATTCATTTGTTAATTAATATATAATGTAGAGGAAAAAAACCAACTCCTTAATATTTATACAAATGTAATCATGCTAATTTGTTACTAGCATAAATAAGGAAAAAAGGAAATATTTTTGTCCCATGCTATATAATTAATATCATCCAAAAGTCTAGTCAACTAAAAAAGGTTGACTGACTAAGATTATTGATTAAGCCTCTAGTATTGACAGTACTTACGGTAATTAAAATACATGATTCTAATTTTTGAAAGATTTTGTTTGATAGCAATGTCTGAAAGGTTGCCTAGATAACAAAGTCAATTAGTTAATATTATCATTATAATTTAAGAAATAGCCACCAACCTCTTTCTCCACAACAATTATAATTTTCGCCTCACTTTCTAATTGTTTATTAGATAAAAAAATGTTAAATTAAATGATAATAATAAGTGTAAAGACATTTTTAATTTTCCAGTCAAAAAGGATATTATATTCTGTGTTATTATTATCATTATCATCAATTATTGATGGAATCAGAATTGCAGAACTTATTGAACTTTCTAAGATAATTTGATCATTTTTAAATAATTTAAAACTTCCGGAAATCAGACCTTTTGCTGAGGCAAGCTTTTCCAATTAAAATACTAATTAATTAATTATGATATTTTTTCTCATAAAATATTATTTATTTCATTGATTTTTTTTTACCAAATTCAATGATTTTCTTGTGACTTGAAAAACACGACATAGATCATCTATAGCCTTTATTATTTATTATACTTTATTGTGAATCCTACAAGAAAACAACGATTCAACAATAATACATAAATTATCAATAATCTTACCCGATCAACACGTTCTGGGTTTCCGAATAAATTTACATCACGATAATAAATACTACTATTGGTGTGTAGAAAAAAAGAAATATTAAGAAAGATGGATTGTTTTTTACTTTTTCTTTCTCCTTTGCATGATAATAACATAAATTTACCGTTTTGTTGCTAATGTATCAGTTGTTAATAATTCATCACATATTTCTAGTATTCTTTTTAAAATAGGAAGTCTTTTTTTTACTTTTGATAAAAAGTTCTCGAAGTCTTTATTGTCATTATCAACTTCATTTTTATTATCAACTTCATTTTTTTCAAGCCGGATCGAAATTTGCTCCTTCATTAATCTTATTTTCTTTGAGATTGGTTCTCTAAATAAATTGGATTTGGCTAAGGACATGAGAAATAAGATGTGAAAGTTCATGTAAGTACATCAGGAAATTAAATATAACTAGAGTGACAAGTGATGGCGGGCAATAACCACCACCACCATTCTTAAAACACTTACCCATTTTCTTTGCCGTGAACATTTTTTCCTTTTCGCTTTCTGTCTGAACGTCCAGACATTTTATAAAATATTAATTAAGAATTGTTAAAAAAGAAAAAACAAACATGTAAACAATACTATTATTATTATTATTGACACTGGTGTTGCACAAAGATTTTTTTTTTTTTTTTTTGGAATAACAATTTACTTTTCAAAGATGACAAAACGTGGTTCTCCTAAAGAAGAAGTGTTAATAACAGAGGTACTATTTTTAATTTGTATTGATATAATGTGGTGTCTTTTATTTTATATAAATGAATATTATTGAAATCAAAACGTGGAGCAAATCTTGCTGGGTAATTATAAGTTCCTCATCAAGATGGTAAATTATTGGTATTTGGCTTTTTGTAATCAATATTAATATTATTAACGTTAAATAATATGAAAATGTTAAGGCGATACAAGGAAAAGAAACATTTTGATATATGACATTTGATTATCGGAAATTTGATAAGTGTTGAGGGCACACACGCTACCTTGAACACTCTACAGTCATTCTCACACATTCCTCGTGTTCACAAGGCTAATCTGACCTGCAACGTCCGATGATACAATGATATGATAAACTCCAGGGGGTTGGCGCATGGCCCTGGGGTTTACCGAAGCTGCATCAACCGTCAATGATGCTTTCACTAATCTTCCCAGACCAGAGAAGGCTGCCATGTTGGCCAAAAAGTCTCCCGCAATGACCCTACCCCTAGGGTAAGGATGGCTCTGTAACCAAGTCGCAACTCTGTTGATGAATTGTAGTGCCATGTAAACATCAAAGCAACGAGAATCTGCAACTTGTTTCAAGCCACAGGGAGGTTACAATCAGGGTGGGGTTGGTGGCCCTGAAATCACATTTGAGCTCTGGTGTTAAGAGGAAGGCTTTAAAATAAAATGGTTCAGATTTTGTTGGTATGTTATATAAAAATTAATCATTTTCTGTTTCTTTAATCTTTATTTGACCAATTGAATTTGTTATTTAAATTGGGGGTGGGGAACTTTTGCTTTTTTGGTGAGTAGGCATGCCACCAACAAGACAGCAACCCAAGATTCAAAACTCTGAATCCAAAACAGCAACCCAGTTTGCAACCTCCCGAGTTGCAGATGCCCATCTTATTATAACTTTATTCTAGAGAAGTATAACACAAAGAAATCATCACACAAGCACCACCTATCAGTGATCAATGCCCATATGGAAACAGCCTGGCCTGGTCTGAGGGGCAGATAAGGGAAGTTTTGTCCAAAGCCTTCCAACTTGTCCAAGTTGCTCTCACTCATGGAAAAAGGTTCCACAGTGCAAGAGGGTGCTTTGCACAACGCTTGCATGTTTGTGATAGGAAATTTTAATTAAATCTGACACCTGTGATCAACATCAGATTTATTATTCATAAGGAACTATAATTGATAATCAGGAAAAATAATTTATTTTGTGAACCCCAGAGATCTGGGTAGAGACACATTGTTAAAAGTTTCATTTCTGCATGGCTTTGGTATTATTATTACCTGGGTGATGCAATTGTTTGTTATGTCAATGATGATATCAAATGTATTGAATAATCATTGTGATGGATGTGAGG